TTCAGCGACTTGTAGCGGTTGGCAACTCGAGCATACTACCCGATGAGAACGATGTGCCTGGGGCGCCACTGGGGTCCAAGGGCGTCCTGATAGTCCTGGATTTCGACAAGACAAAGCCCCTGGGAAGCGCTCCACCGACGCCGCTCAAGACAGAATACGACTTAGACCCCCTTTGTCCAGGCGAGATGCTACCGGAAGGCTCGATTGACTTTGATCGCGAGGTGGAACTGGTACGAACCAGGACCATGGCACAGCGCAGAGCCCAGGATCGAAACGACATTGTTGCACGAAGACCATCGAGAATTGGAACCACGCCTGTTCAGCGGGCACGTACTTCTGCGAACCGGAATGCGCCAAGACCACCACTGCCTTCCGATGAGTCGGAGGAGTTGACACCGGAAGAGGCACAGGCAATGTTTGAAGCTCCGTATGATAATCAACAACCTCGATCTCAGATGTCTCTAGCTAGGGCTGCCACCGTCGCGGCGGTATCACCTGCGAACCGTCGGCATCTGCGTGCTCTGCCTTTCAGACCCCTGGAGTACCGTCGTGCAGACGGTCATCGAGAGCTGCCACACGAAAGTGACGCCGACAACTGGGTGCCACCTCCGCCAGCATATACGACCACCGCAGCAGCAGCAGAGAGTGTGAGCCTGAGCCATCCGGATGCGCCCCCTGTACCTCGATTACCTCATACTCATTCATCATCTTCCATACCGCCCGTTCCTCCACTACCAAACATGTCCGCAACCATTAACCCCTCCCAAATGTCTCCGTCGCACCCTTACCATCAGCGCCAACAATCGATATCTTCCGTCGACGTATCATCACCTCCAGCTGCCGACCCAGGGCGTCGCCCATCTCTGCTGCATCCATCCACATACCCCAGCCCCCAATCTTCTGGCTCGATACGACGGAGGCGATCAAGGACCCGATCACCATCGGAACAAATGTCGTATGTACCCTTGCCGCAACCCCAATCCGCATACCCGAACACCGCATCCCACATGCCCACCCGCCGTCCCACAAATGGGCGCACTCAACGAGTTCCTCACGATAATCTCGACCTCTACGCTCCACCCGTCCCCAGTATTCCAACCTCCCGCCGCGGCTCGGCTCCAAACATAGCAGTTCAGCGCCGTCCTCTACCCATGAGCAGCCCACGCATGAGCATGCCCTATCCTGCACCGCCAGTCAACAATTCAAGTCAGCCAAGGAACACTCTGCCACCTCTGGCTGCTCCAGACCAACAGTACTCAGCCGGTCAAAGATTCCCCATCAGTGCGCCGCCGAGGACAGATCAAAGTGCGCAGTACAACCATCCTTATGGGAGTTACTACGGGCCACCGCAAGGTGGCGTGCATAGGGCGTCGCAGAGTGTGGGCGATCTCCTCGGTGGGAGTGGAGGTACTGGGCGCAGTTCCAGGATGGATGGCGTCCTTGTTGGAGAGAAGAAGGCCAAGGGGAAGAAGAAGATGGGATGCACTGTTATGTGATGAGCGGTAAAACAACGACGGACGACCGATTTATGTTTCTCATGATTATATTATACCCATGACCTTGTTTCTTTGGTGTCAGCGTTTTGGTCTTTGAAGAGGGAGTGGATATGCGAGCGCTCCTGCAATTGGTTGAGCGGTTGAGCGAGGTCATTTTCTGAGAATTTGACGAGACTGCACATGGTGGCTACCTATACACGAGGCACTTAGATTGACGCAAGGAGCAATCCAGGGATTATCGGAACATCATCTCTTTCTACATCTTTACTTGTTGACTTCGCATCTTGATTAGAAACAAGGTGATTACAAATCTGACGTGGCTTTACTTTAACTCAAGTCCTACCATGGCATCACGCTGACGAAATCAACCACACACGACTCGATGACTTCCAAACTTCATACTCTACTCTACTCTACTACAGGATTAGGTCCTCTTTAAGAACGAGAGTCACAATCATAATGGAACCCCGTACTTTCATCATCCCAACTCCCCAGAACTGGTGACGTACTACGATATCACGCAATCATGCTCACTGAGCGCGTGAAGCCGTAGCAGACATTCGATATGACGCTAACTCATCTCTGTCCGAATTACCCCGTGCGTCTAGGCACGAGCCTTGGCGTATAACGTGGAGCAATGATATATCGCATCGTGACATTGGAAGACCTCTTCAAGACAACACCCGCTCAACTATTCCAAAACGTTCGAAATGGTCGGTCCGCGCAACAATAAGAAAGAGCCCGCGCAGACACCGAGTGATCAAGGTGACGTATCGCGCTTGAACACAAGATCGCACTCCGTTATGGCGCAAGGTCACGATGACTTCAGCGGCAGTCGCCCAGGCTCCCAGCGTAACCAAAACGTTTCAGCTGATGACGTGGTAAGCTTTCGCTCCTTGGGTACCAGATAATATATATAGCAACTAACGCATAGCAGTTCGCATACAGCCCCAACGTCCAACCAAATGGGGCTCAAACGTCAAGGAACAACGTGTTCTCGCATATGGGCCAACCAAGATTTCCCAACATGAGTCCTAGCTTGGTAAATCAGGCACCAAAGCCTGTAAGTATCTGCATTATCAGTGTAGAAAATGCTTCAACTAAACATGACAGCAGGAAGGCTGGGTCACACCAACACTGTCTAACAGACAGCCCACTGGTTTCGCTCAACCCATGGACGCTCGTCAATATCAACATGCTCTGTCACAGGCAGGCTACCCATCCTGGGCGACCCTATCCGACTCTCGTCCGTTCAACCCGGGCCCACCCCAACGTCCGATCGCAACCCCGTATACCCGCTATCGAGAAGATTACAAGCAAAATCTCTCCACCGATACGTCCGCGGTACCTAACTCCTGGCTACCCCGACTCGATATCGACCTCGATCAGATGCATAATCAGTGTCCCGTACCCAGCCCATCAAGACCACTACTACAACCCTACTCGATCTCGTCGTTCAACGAACTCGAATTACCCACCGGCGCGGCTGTCGCGTCTTACCTAGAAGAAATCATATGGCGACCGTCGACTGGCGCCTACGCTGTACCACAAAACGAAGCGGAGAAATCGTATTATGTCAAGAAGATCTGTTTCGGTCTCGTCAACCTCTCCAACATATGGGACACAGTCGCAGATGTATATCCCTACGCCGTCAAATTCTCCAAAACGGGTACATGGGCTGATCCCAGAGACATCGAAGCGACCGCACACATCATCGTCAGCAACGCTATGCGCATCCACAAAATGGGTGTCGCTGGCTTGCCGTTCCGTCGGTGCGAGGAGTTTGAATCGCTGAACGCGGAGGATATGGATTTTACTTTTCCACAGCGGATTCATTACCTCGCGCGGCTGTTCTGGCACTCGAAAGTCGCGGCTGATAACGTCATGTTGGGGAGGGATATTGCCAAGTATGTCGCGCTACCACTGACGTCCCTCCGCCATCTACCGCGGTTTGAACAAGAGTGGTCGAGTATGTCGGACGAGCAACGCATAGTGCAGACTCAGATTCATCCGTATCCGCAGGGGCTTAGACATCCGACTCCTCAGGAGCAGGAGCAGATCCTGAAGCATGTACGTATGTTGCCGTCGCTGTTTAACAACTACATGGCTACGGGTGGTCAGTCGGGTACGTTTAGTCCAGGTCGAAAGCCACCTGGTGGATCAGCAGTGCCTGGGAAGCGTCCGGCGGATGGTGACGGAGGATACAAGATGGAGCCTGCAGCTAAGCGCTCTCATAACTATGCGCGTTCTCGGAATGATCAGAGCTTTGAGAAGTTCCAGTATGAAGAAGGTCACCGCCCAGGTAGCACCTTGGGCACTAGATCTGCCACCCAAACTCCGGCGAGCGATCGGACCAACGGATGAGAGACCTTAGCAGAGCGCCCAATATACATCGGGCAGTAGCAGTAAGATCGTGGCAAGTATTTCCGGCGGTGGTTGCAAGGCGAATATGGTTTGGAAAGAGTGCGATTCTGTGTCTAGCTTGGAGCTCAGTCGTTGCCATGCGTAGAGCTATCAATGCGACCATGTCGAAATTGTCACATCGAACAACATCGTTGATCGGAAATTTCCCACGTGACTTTACGTCAGTGCCCAGGTGACCATTTGCGGAGAAGTCAGGGACGACTGAGTTCTCAAGCACGGGGTCAAGAGCCTTCGCTCCCACGTGATCTTTTCTCCAGACCGTCGCCGCGCTGGAACAATACATATAGCAGGTTGTAGAGCCGTGTGAAGATACCTGAAGTTGTCAATACATTGAGCTTCCGCAGTATCTCTATCTCAATATAGTTCTGGATAGCTCTTCAGACGCAGCGATGTGGTGCTTGTCATTGCCGCGGTCGTGCTCAGTGTACCTTCTTCTTACATCACACTGGTCAGAGCGCCACCCGACCAGTACTAGTCAGCGGGTAGTCGCAAATAAGACAACACAACTACTTCTATATACGCACTTTTTGATTAAATCCTGTATTTCTACATCGTGAACAAGTCCGATATTGATATCGCCGACCCAATTCACTACTGGCCACCACTTACATCGCTGTCGAAATGCTTCCTTCAACCGCTGCGTCCTCCGTGACAACATCATCGCAGACCGATATTGCCCCATTCAGCCAATCTTCAAGTGTTTATCACCCCCACGATCAAGGCGAATGGGACATGTGCGGCACTGATCAAGGCGATGCGCGGATGATGCCTCCAGACCATCATGTCCATGAGTGGGAAGCGTCGCAGGTCGCTCTAAACCGTCAGCTTCAGAAGCCCCAGTATTTTCAAGGCTCATCAGAATACATTATCTCCCCGCCTCCGATGTGGTATGGTCAGACTGACACTATCGCGACAACGCACGGACCATTTCATCGTCAATCATACCCAACTCATTGGGGCAGCGAGGCCTGGCCATTCGGCGACAACGACCAAGTGTCTGCTTTCAAGAATTTCCATGATGCTGGTCCTATTACAGGACTTCCACGATCCCTTCCCGCTTCGCCCGAAGGTGCAGTCTTGATGGCCTCAACACTCCGCCAATCGCAGCTCGAAGACGCATCTCCTGCTGGCCACTGCAATAACGGCGATCGCCGTTGGAAAGAGTATGTTCCGCGAGCTAGGACGAGTCGGCAGTCCGAAGAGGCGCCCCTGGTCCATAGTCCAGTTCAGTCCAGAAAGGCAGAGACGAAGACTAAGAGTAGGATTTTGGAAATCGAAGAGCAAGAAGAACCTCCCGCTACGGTGGACGGAGCTAAGCACCGTGATTCAGTTCACAAGACAGAGATGAAGCCCAACGTGAATGCGAAGAAGACCAAGCGACAAGCACCGCCACTGCAATCGTTCGGCCTGTACTTCACCGAAGTCACTGAAGCCCGCCAGAAAGCTCGGGGACTGGACTGGCCGCCTCATGAGGACGAGACTCTCCCAAACACCAAAGAAGAGCGGATAGCAGTTGTTCGTAAGCTCTTCACAGCTATCCAAGACACCAGCGACATCCAGGACAAGATGTCGAGCCCCATGCTCAAGAAGCGCTGGCTGGCAGAGAGTGCAGGAGAATCGAGCAAAGACGTGGTTGGAAACGCTGGGGAGACAAAACGCACACAGAAGATCGCTACCAATACAGTGTACAAACCTTGGGTGAAAGAGCGTCTCTGCTGGGATATCTTGGTCAGTTTCGCTATAGCATACGCAATTACCGGCGCTAACATGAACAAGGAAACAACTGAACGCATCTATCGAGAAGGCGCAGGGTTCGTTTCGATCCTGGATCCTGTCATGATCGATCGCTGCGAGAAATCACGGAAGCTCACGTTCGAGGAGCGTATCTCGAAACTTGTCGTAGTGTTGAAGTCCTACAAGAGCCGTGTCGACAAGCTGTTGCGTGGAGGATGTGTCGAGGAGTACGTGTTATGCCCGGATACTCTTCTCCAGATCAGCTCGAGCAACCGCCAACAGAACGACGAGCGTCAGAAAGACCTTACTGCTGGCCGAAAGCGCGAAGATCGGCTCGTCAAGAAGCCCGGGAAGAAAAAGCAGATTTGTAGGTCTATCATCAGGCACCATGAACTTCACTGACCATCGTAGTGGCGCCTACGCCAGCAACTAGTCGCAAGCGTACTCGCTACAGTTCCGAGGACGCGTCCGATGTAGAAGAGCCGCAGAAAAGCCGCACCAGGACCTAGACGCAGTGACCTTTGAGGCGCGGTGTTGATTCGGTTCGTGATTTCGCATTTCCTCAGGTGAGGGAAGGCGTATGGTATGCTCACTGCGTTAATGTTTGCTTTGCTTCTCTCATGGTATGTGTGGTTGTCCCTTTGTGAGTTCAGTTTTCCGCTCGTCGCAACCAGGTTTGGTGCACAGCGTTCTCCCTTGGAGCGGGTGGTAAAGAGGGCTTGATAGTTTTGAAAGATCGATCCTTTGTCCCTGCAGACTTGGGCGCTTTGGCTAGGTCCTATGCCTAATATCAGTGACGCAATACAACTTTTGAGGCTGACGGCCGATTTGTCTGGCTGTACATAACGAGACTGTGCCGCGCCGGCTCGTTACAGATCATGAGCATCAATCGCAGTTGTGAATCCACTTGCTACGATTCCGTTGGAAGTAAGAGTATCGTGAAGATGTGGTGCGCGTAGTGAGTAGCATCTGGGTAGTTGAGGTTCGTCCGCGTGAAGTTTGACGCGAGCTTCGGAGCGCGTGACGTCATTAAGTGGGGCCTCAAGCGGAACGCGTGATGCCTCATCACACCAGCGACGCTTCTCACAACTTCCTCGCTCTCTCGCTGCGCGTATGCCATGCTAGCAGCAGTCGCGGGTATGGTTCCGTTATTGTACGACGTCTGCCAATCTACACTGAGAAGATGAAGGCCCGCAACCAGGACAGACTCATACATACATTACCGGCCGCATCACCACCTATGACATGACGCGTCTGCTTCTGTGCGAGCGACGAATGTTTCTTGCAGATTTCGAAGAAGACGCCGATGCCACCGAACTTACTTCATCTGCAGGTAGGCGCGACCTTCATGTAACAAAGGGAAAGGGCAAGTAGCTTTGCGTCACACATTGTACCTGCTACTCCTACAGATGACTGCCACAACGTCGTCGAAACGATCGCACAGCCATGTCGCTACACTCCCACACAGATCCTATCCTATCTCACCTTAGCTTCCTCGACACTCGTCTAATCACACATCGCCGCGATTTCTATCTCTCCTATCCATACGAGTGAAGAGCCATGCCGAGATCGTCTGGCGATGGATACTTCGTATGTTACCTGCAGAGGATCAAGCAGTATATGGACGCGCAACTTGCTAAGGAGGGTAGATGGGGCCGCGCGACCTCAGCCATCACTCGAAGTTTCCGATGATGCTGCGACTTCACGGCAGCATCACTCCAAAGCTTGTCATACCCGTTTTGCTGGTAGGTGGGTGGGCCACCGCTGTCACTTGCATCTCGAAGCTTGTATATGACCGTAAGCCATATCCTCTTTCTCCTGTACCACAAAGCCCTATTCTAACATGACGCAGTTGGAACCGACCAAGTCTTCATCACCGTACTAGGCTTTGTCGTCAGTCTGGCCCTCAGCGTCCGCAGTTCTACCTCGATGGACCGCTACTTCCAAGGTCGACAGCTTTGGGGGCGCCTCCGACTCGCATCGCACATCTTGGCTCGCCTGATATGGATACACGCTGAAGAGAGGCATGCTGCTGATGCAGGGTTGGGGAAGCAAGATCTGCTCGGCAAGGTCAGCTGCCTGAACCTAATTGTGGCTTTCGCTGTCGCAGTGAAACATAAATTGCGGTTCGAGCCAGGAACGCATTACGAGGATCTGAAGCACCTGGTCGGTCATTTGGATACCTTTGCGCAGGCAGCGGATATGCCTGCGCCTGACCCTCCGAGCGCTTTCAGGCGGACTTGTCAGTTGCTCGGCATGCCTATGGCGACGCCCAACCCACGCAAACACGTCAAGCAATCGCGCGTGCCTCTCGGTGACCTACCCCTTGAGATTTTATCTCACCTCTCTGCGTACATGAAAGTTCTATACGACAACGGCACGTTGAGAGACTACAGCATCTATCAAACCCAGACTTTGGATTCGCTGACAATCATGGACGAGGTGTCGTGTGGCACGGAGAGAATCCTGAACACACCGCTTCCACTTGCGTACTCCATCGCCATATCCCAGGTCACATGGCTGTATATCCTGTTGCTACCGTTCCAATGCTACAACAGCTTAGGTTGGATCACCATCCCTGCATGTGTGGTCGCAGCGTACATCATTCTGGGTATCGCTTTCATCGGCCGTGAGATCGAAGACCCTTTCGGACACGACGTCAATGACCTACCTCTGGATGCCTTCTGCCAGCAAATCCGCCAGGACCTTGACATTATCATGTCACGCGCTGCGCCTCTCGTCAACGACTTTATGGGTCGTGAAGAAAACATGCCGCTGTATCCCCTTTCATATCTGAGCACGAGAGCATGGGCAAACAAGTCGCCAGATGAGATACATGTCGCTTTGTCGCAGAAGGTAGGTCTCCATCATCCCATGGTTGAACGCGGTGAGAACCCGGTGCCACCTACGCAAGGAAGACTAGCCGGCGTGGATGGCTGGGTTGAGAAGGGTGGTTCAGGACCGATTGACACAACAGGTCATTACAGAAGGAAGTACGGAAGTGTTTAGTTTTCTCAGGTCCAGACACCAAGAACACTCCCTCTTATCACCCTACCTAATATTCAGATTGCAAATAATCATTCTATTCCGTTTCCCGTCTGATTTATCCTCTCAAAGGGCCCTTCTTCCAAAGCTGACCGATCCCTCCCAACCCTCCGATGTTCTTTAACAGCGTCTCCAATTTCCACGCTTCCCTGTCTTCTCCAATGCCTAAAAACCCCAAATCAGACAACAACCTATGCGTCTTCTCGCCATACGCTTCTGCCTTCTCTTTATCGCCCTTCTCCAACCATAGCATAGCCAACATGGCATACTCATCGGTCAACATCGACCAGACTCCTTCGTCTTTGATCAGTTCGACGGATTCCTCCGCGAGAGCTATAGCTTCATCAAGTTTGTAGGCCTTCGCTAGCTCCATAATCTTTTCCTCGGCCTGCGTGATCATTGTGCGGCGAAGATCAGAGGCTTGGCGTTCGTCGGCTGATAGGCTGCAGAGGCTACATGTGCATTTGAACCCCCAGCGCTTTATCAAAGATTGCCGTTTCTGGAATGGAATGCCCAAGAGGAGGTCTAGGTGGCGTTAGCACCAAAACAAGAAGGAAGAGGGTGGAGATTACAAGAGACGGTGATCTCTTCGCCGGCTTCAATGTCGCGATAGGCTTTTATGGCCATTGAGACGCCTGCCCGGGAAAAGAGGACGAATGAGTTTGGGTTGCATGCATGATTAATGCGCTGGTACGGTCAGTGACACCCATGTTGCTGTTGAGACTGCATCGCGACCTACCGAGATCAGCGGATACAACGCCCTTGAGCTGACCTCCGCAACCGTGCTGCCATACGCGTTCGTCTTCATGATGTCTTCCTCTAAGCTCCCTTCCTCTTCGTTATCTCCATCATTTTTATCCTCATGGCTTTTCCCTGCATGCGCAGAACTCATATCCCTAATCATCGCAGGAACAAGCAATTGATCCACAGCCTTCTTCATCAGCTTCTTATTCTCAGCCTCACTTAACGCTTTCTCCGCACCCATATCCACAACAACAGCGGCCTGATCCACCATGAACGTTTCGTACATCTTGATCTTGCGCGTAGCTACTACGCCTTTCGCTTTCCCGGGTATATCGACGATTTTCCATGGTTGACCGCCGAGATACAAGCGCTCAGCATCTTTCTGAGTCAGAAAGTTATTGAGCGGGTTGTCGTCGAGATATTCCGACGCTAGATGGGCGGATCTTGGGGGAAAGATCAGGGAGAGACCGTGTGGGCCCGTCGTGTTGGATGTGTAGACGCAGTACTTTTGGCCGAGGGTGGGGAGATAGCTGCTAGTCATGCAGTACGGTTTGTGAGACCATGGCGCATAAGAATGATCTTCGCTGGGCTTGTGTAAGTTTTGTTGCAGATCTGGTTGCAGTAGGTTGTCGATATCGAGGACGCCTACTGTTGCATATACATGCTGGAGTGCGAGTTGCAGAGCAGCAACCGGTGAGACCAGAGATCGCATGTCTACAGTAACACGTTGCTGTTAGGGGTCATGAAAGCTTTCTATACACTCTCAAACCGCGACAGCAATTATGGATGTTCTGTCTTATCCCATAGTGGTTGCTGTGCATCAGTTCCCGAAGCGGTAATGTACGTCACGTAGCTTTACCCGGAAATTTACCCCAGACATACTCCCCGATACCAAGATCCTTGGGCACTTTGCAGGACTTTCCCGCTGACTTGACGGCCAATTGTAAACATTATATAGTCAATTCTGGATAGACGGTTGACGACGCGGGGCTTGTCGCCCAGAAGGGTTGATCCTAAACGAGTTGATCGCCTCGGCAGCAGGAGAGTAGTCATTCCCGGTTTCCCGATTATAGTATAGACAATCTCCCAGTTTCCTCAAATCAGCTTCTATTAAGTATAAATAACAATTTTCCGCTTGTGAGCAACTTGCACATACTGCAGACTTATTGCCACTGTTGAGCTTCATCCACTCCCCCTGTAATGAGTAAACCATGAATTGTAGTGATCTACGTAGCTTTTCTATCAATGCGTCGCATGATCTCTCGCCTGTGTATAGTTTGTTGATCTATACCTTGCATCATCGCGTTGTCGAATACGATATCGTTCAGTCTCTGCAGCTCTTCCTGCAAACAGACGAGCTTGCCAGATATGTAGCAGACGCCCACTACTAGGGAGAAAATGAGAATTCCTTCTGCCCTGTTCAATCGGGTACAGGCATAGAGATAGCATGGTGTGGCAACGACAGCGCAGACCCGAGTATATGTCGTCAGCGGAAGGCTATACGTGTACCTTAAGACGATGATCGCAAAGGTAAGAATCATAGTCTTCACAATCTCGGCATTTCCATGGTGTATATAACCCCGAGGGAACTGGGAGTACAGTTAAGTCTCAAGCTGAACGACAGTTCTCGATACACATGCTTACCTGTAACGGTGGGAGCCCGTATCGATGCAAGAGATTATCAATCCAGTCATGCCTGCCATCTTCTATCTCCTTTCGAAGGCGACCAAAAGCTTTTGCTCTGCCTTCGCCATATATAAGCGGCATTTGTACTTCGAATATGCCAAGGAGGCAGTACGCGGCATCTTCCTCCCGTTTGGTGCCACGATGTCTTGCCCAACGCATGCGCTCTTCGATAGGGTACTTCAGCATGAAGCTCGGGCCATTCTCCAATGCAGCTACGGGGATATTCGTCTCACTTGCAATTTCTTTTGCAAGGGAAGTCTTATCTCCGATTCTCGTGCCGTCTATCGAGAAGAAGACAACATTCCTTGGTGCTAGAAGCTCCTGAAGCGTCCATCCACGTGTGAACCATCGGTTACCCTTGAAAGATGGCTGCTTGTTGCTCTGCGAATACGGCCTGCCGGTGCTGGGCACATCAGAGAGATATACGTAGCATGCTGTCGAATCGCGATACCACTTGAACATCGAATTAATGGCTTCGGCCAATTCCGCGCTACTGCTCTTATCTATGCAGCATGTATCAACCCAGAAGAATTCGAGCTTGTCTTTAGCGGCCTGCGCGGCGCAGAACTGGAGTTTGGCGTAGCCGGGCTTCTTTTTGCCCTTGCCCTTGCCCTTGTATATGTCTTTGAATGTGACTTCATCCTCGTCGGCGCCCCAGGTATGTGATAATATTGCGTATGTTGGCGTGTAGCGAACAAACTCAACGAGTTCGAAGTCGTCGCCAGAGGCATGCAAAAGGCGCATGTTACCGTTAGTATAGAATCTTGGGAAACAAGCTGGAAAAATTGAGATCTGGAAAAATTGAGATCATATGTTCAATGATTGTTGCCTTTGGGCGAGGAAGGGAAACATGTTGTGGTGACAACGACGCCAATGCGGGGCAGTACAGTGAGGCTGAGCGTGATACATTAGCATAGTGTCTTGTGGCGGCGCTAAGATTCAGCCTTCCCAAGCCACCCAACTTCGCGGCGGCTCAACAGGAGAAGGCCGTCTGGCATGTGATTTTGAGCATGGCAACGGGTCGGCTCTTCGGTGATCAAGATGAGTTGAGCAATAGTGTGCTTCATATTGAACATGTGTCTTGTAGTCTTCCTAACTTATCCAAGGTATTCCAAAGTAGCCTTGCTTCACCGAATCGTCGTTCAACCTATTCATCATCAACATCAGCTCCACGCCTCAAAGCTTCGAGCTCATACCAGTATACGCAATGCACTCAATCTCCACCGGCACGCCCTTGGGCAGCTGCTTGACGGCAACACAGCTGCGCGCAGGCTTGTGGGAGAAGTACTGCTCGTACATGCCGTTCATCTCGGCGAAGTTGGCCATGTCGTCGAGGAAGACGTTGACCTGGAGTCGTAGTCAGCACCCTATCGGTTGTCCTTCCGCGTGCATTTCTGAACGCACCTTGACAATCCTGTCCAAAGCAACACCGGCCTCAGTGAGAATGCCCTTGATGTTCTCGCAGCACATCTTGGTCTTATCCGCGATGCTGCCCTCGATCAGGTTGCCCTTGGTATCGGCGGGGATCTGGCCCGAGACGAAGACATTGGGGCCTGCGACGATGGCTTGTGTCTAGACGGTGACGTTAACGTGGTGTTCGGATGCGATGGGGACGATAGAGGAGGAACGTACGTAGGGTCCGGCAGCTGTATCTCTGTTAGCAAGCTCTCCTTCTACACCTCCGCTATCAATCTGAACGTACGAGGACACGCGTTAGCGGTGTGAATCTTCTTGATATCAGACATCTTTCGTATTCCTTTGATGTCGCTTGCTTTGTAGGGTGAAGTTGTGATAGCAGGTCGCGTGAGATTCGTGGTTGTAGTAGTAAGGGATCGTGAAGCACGTAGAGCTCTTGGTACCGCCGTGCGTATCAGCAGCATGGGGACGTTTATCTACGTCAGGTAAATCGAGGCTATCATCGGGCTAGGTGGACACCTAATTGAGCGCGTCCGCCCTATACCCGTGACATAAGATGGGGCTTGGGAGCGGCATCGGAAGCTACCCCACTTTCCCTCTTGGGCGGGCGCTGCGTGTCAGCAGCTTGCAGGGATGCTTTTGTTGATGGAGGGGTAATGAGGGCGGAAATTTTGGGGACGGCGACTTTTGCGACGGGGAAAGAGGGTATGGCGCCGCTGTCGTGTTGCGCAGGGCGTAGGGCTTAGTTCAGTGTCAATGATATAGTGTGGAAATGACCATTTGAAGGTGCGTATACGAGTAAAGAGACTTTTGACGTATTTATCGTGATATCCTCGCGCGCATCTCTCATCGCGCCATGTCGTGACTATACAAACCACCAACGCCGCCCATATGCATTCCTATGCCCCATCTATAATGTGTATTGTTTACGGTATCGAGTCGAGATTTGAAGCCTGAAGATTACCAGCCGTCCCAGTATTACGCCACTACTGCTCCATCTTCTCCTCCTGGCCCGAGAGCAATGTGTGTACAGGCGCGTCGAGCTGGTCGCGGCCCTTGAGGAAATCGAGTTCGAGAATGAAAAGGTATCCCATGATAGTTCCGCCTAGCTTCTTCAC